ACTCACTTCCTCCTCAGTCTGAAATATCATCGACCCCCGTCATGGTGTGAGTCTTCTTTCATCCGGCCCACGCGTTATTGCCTTTCTCATTTTTCCATAGCCCGGTTCCGGGACCACTTCTAGACCTCTCTAACCGAATCGCAACATAAATACTACGTGTTTTGTCAAGCGATCTCCTGTTTGATTGTCTGCGGAACAGAAGACAGCGTACTTTTACTTCACTACTATGACCACATTAACTCTCGCGATGATGCTCACACATCGTTTGCCCAAATCGATTTTTTTGCCATCGAGTCCTAGATACCAGACACAAAGGTCATATGGTGCGACTGACTAATCCATTGGCTGTACGTGGGCTGTTTGAACTCTCTCATTGAGTTAACATGACTGGGAGTAAGCTGTGCAGTTCCGGGTTCTAACAAACTTTTTGTCATCCACTGTAGGGGCGACCTCCACGCGTCTTATGCACGTCTAAAACTGAGGTTTACTCACTTACAACCATTTTTGACGTTTTTTAGAATTTCCTGCCTTTCTAAAAAATATGCGTATTTCTAAACAATTTTATATTACCTTCGACATGTTTTCAATCCCCTTAAAGTTGTTCTTTATATTGAGTCCACTTATTTATGCCGGCTTGCGAGTGATTAACAATCATTCGTAAAATTGGCGACCTTTCATCAGTTAGGTCACCTTTCTAAATTTTCTGACACCAGTTTTTCGTTTTTTTATCTGTTGCAGACTCGGAGGATACAGTGAATGTTTGCGGAGATGGTCCCACGCACATCTACGAAACACGCCCCTCACGTCCTCTCTTTACTTTCCACGATGGTAAAAAGGCCCGGTTTGGCTGGCGAGCTGAATTCAAGCCTTTCCACAGAGCGCTATCCTCCTTTGAATTTGATATTATGATTGGAGCTGCCGGCAAATCAAATAGCTGTTTAGGTCGGTATTTCTTCACTACTTTAAGTATGGCTTGTTAATGACGGCAAATAAGCCAAAAATGATCATTCTGGTTTCCCTTTTACTTGTCGATAATCCTCTTCTGTACATTTTCCTCTCGGTATTTCAAGCGTAGCCGTTTATGTACACTTTTCTGACTGACAGCTTTGTTGTGTTAGAGGTTGCTTCTTTGATTCACATTAACCGGCCATTCATAGTACTGTTGTCGAAGCACAGGGATGACAAAAGTGTGCAAGCACACATCGTCACATTTCAATCCATCTCCTCTGACAATTTACCTCGTCGCAGTTCGGCTCATCCTAAAAACCTCCTTCCTTGTAGACTATAAACTTATCTCCAACCGGGTGTTTATCTTCTGTTCAGTTAATATAAAACGTGTTTGTTCCATCGCATAGTATTACTCTCTTCAGTGGGAACATTTTAACATGGATGTTTATGGTTTGTTCTTTCCACCAACTTGCGTTTACCTCTCGACTTATAGCGCACGATCTCCAAATGGTATACTTACTCATTTCCTATGCCCTCGCTCGCTTACTCCCCCCTCCGTTCCTTATCCTCCCCTCCCCAATGGCAGATTTTCCGAGGAAGGAACTACGGTGCCGTCTGGCCATCGCGGTAACGGCAAACTTTGTCAACTACAACACAGCTGATGAAGCACGCGTGGAAGAAATTTCGGGGGTCGCAAGTATCTTCAATCAGCAGTACTTTTCACTTCTCTCCAAAACCCTGGGCATCGAACTGGAGAATTTAGTCTACTACAAGGATGAAACCCACTACTTTGTGATGACTGCTAAGAAGCACTCTCTCCTTTCCAAGGGTGTCCTCAAAAAGGCGAGTTCACGCCAGTTGTCATGTTGTCACCCAGTACTTTGCTCGCCCATTGTTCTTTAAAGTCGAACGAACTCGCGTATTCTTTGCGGCAATGAGATCCTGTTGGTTCCCATTTGGTAGTTTATGCGGGTTCCCTGTCAGACCTTCATCACATTCCCTCGCATAGAATCTAAAGCCTATCGGAAACATTCAATGACAGAATGGCGCATGGAAAACTCGTTTGCCTTTTATATAAATTATACGAAAGACCCTCCTTTTTGTCAAGAGAAGCACTGACTGGTAACTTTGTGGTACGTTCTTTCCGCACAAAGTCCTAGTGCTCGTAGTCTCGTGTAGGGTTTCACCTGTCTTATTGTCAAAATTAAGCAGTTGATCAACTGCTTCTTCGCCTTGCTGGTATAAAGCTGTTAATTAGACGTTGTAGCACTGTTTTGGTATGCATAGTCAGACTTACCTGCCATCCTGATAATTCCCAGGAGGAAACATTATCACACAGTGCATTTAGTGCTTCAAACAACTAGGCCCTACATATAGTCTCCGTCTTACGAAACTCATTGGCTATGCTTTGTTTCCTCTCTTATCTCACCGGCTGGGGAGATCCAGGTCGTCTAAGAGTACTCTTGGTCTCCAACTAGCGCTGATTCTTTACGACAAATTGTTAGAGTTACGTTCCCTTTTTACCCCAAATTTAAGCATTCAGAGGTATTTTTTGCCATGGAAGATGTAAAATTTCTCGACGACGATCACGACTGTAGTCAGCAGTCAGGGCACTTTATGCGCGGCCTGCCTCCTAGGACCGCGTCCCTAAAGTCAAATGCGGCCTGAGCGTCAAAGTGTCTTCCCGAAAGTGCTGTGGAAGGGTTATACAGAAAGTGCCCGTCAGGCGATTGGCAGATGTGCCCCTCTCCATGTCCCCTCGGACAAACATGTCCGCCAGTTTGTGCGTGCCTCTGCAGTTTGCCAGCTGAGCAATTTCACTGGCGCCCGTTTTCTGAAGGTGTGTCAAACACACGATAAGAAAGTGTGTACACTTCTTTTTTTTGAAGATTTGTTCCATCGAGGCAGTAAGCGCCCCTTCTTAAGGATTTTACTTGGCTTCCCTGGTATATAAATTTAAGGGCAAATTTCAGCTGGTCGCACTGAGTAATATGTTTTACTCATATGCAGGTTACATTGTCTTTCTGTTTGTAGTTTTAGCTTGTACGGCCATGTTGACGGTTGATGGCAGATCTGAAGTCATCGTGATGATCTTTCTGATATTCTTTACGGTCCTGCCTCCTAGATGGGGTATTTGCTTTGTCTTTTCTTGATCTCTACTAGGCGTTTCTATTTGGCCAAAACAGTCCCCTCTCATTGTAAAAAAAGTACGTTTTTGCACTTTGCGGTCCGCCCTTAACCCGCTTTGACCACTGAAGTCTGCTTTCTTTTTCTGGTCGTCGGAGAAGACGGACTGTTTTCCTGGCATGATGTGCGCAGGCATTGCCACATAGAGGAAGAAACGACAGCTACTTCTTGTAGGTATATGCTCTTCCAATCGAACTAGCTCTGCCATTTGTTTGGCAGTTCGCGATTACTCTCAGGCCTCTGGGCAGCTTGACAGGCAATGCTGGGGGTAATTCGAAATGTTTGTCGTGAGCATGTTTTGCCAAAGAAGTTATGAATAATCCTGAGACACCTATCATCTAAGTCTCTCCCTTGGCGTCCGCCTTCTTTACCATTGGATCGCTAGGTTAATGCACTAAGGTTTCAAATGCGTGCCTGTTCGCTCCCTGGGTCCAAAATCAGTTTGCTGAACATCCACCTGCCTCAAATAACCGTCCATTATTCTGCCGGCATTAGAATGTGTCCTTTTGAGTCTGTTTTTCATATAATTCCATAGATACTGCAAACAATATCATGATTTGTTGACCGATATTATCACTCTTTGGGTGTCCACATCTGCCTGTAACTTAGGTTTTTAGTTTTGCCTCGGATTTGCCCACTTTGTTGGGAGGCTACAACGGTCCACTGGACGATGGCATATGTCACGAACAGGCAGCAACCACTTCTCAGGTCAGATTCGGCCGAGAGGTTATCAGTAGTGTTGCGGACAGATTGAGACTAAAGGCAAGGAGTCTGAGATAATACCGTCTCGATCTACGCGCATCTCTGTCGATACTCCCCTGACACTGGCATTTCTCAGTGAACACTTTTCTGGTTTATTTTCTTCGTTGTAACAAATTATGTATTAGGCTCCTTTCAGTAAACCAAAAATCCTTCTGAAAGGTTGCTTAAGTCACATGGGAGTGATTTTCACCGATCTTTCTTGTACTTGCTAGTCTTTAACCGTCTTGGATGGCCCTATGCCGACGAATATTCAATCAAGATGTGTCAGCGAAATCCACCCCCTAAGCTGCCTAACTGACCTTATATTTTTTGTGAATTCTGAATACAGGAGTGTCGCGAACAGATCCCAGATCGTTAGTTCGAGGCTTTCTCCTCTTCTGCTTTGCCTCAAGCACTTAATCAAAAAACAGCTGGCGCATGCGAATTGATTTGACGGAAATTCATGGTCGTTATGTCGTAGTTCCGACATCAGCTGTTGGTTTGCTCTCGTAACGTTGTCGTTGCTGTTTCCACAGCTGTTTATTTGTCAGATCCGAGTTCCTGACTAGTCGTCAGTTGGTGAAGTCAGTCTAAATATCTGTCGCATGTGAACCCATCAGTTAGCCGGGTGATTAGCTAATTGACCATAACCCCAAGCGGGGACAGTCAGAGTTTTCAACATGAATGAATCGTATGGATCGAAGTCTAATGCTCCAGCCAATGATTTACTTGCCCCCGATCAATTGCTTGCGATGAGACTGCTTGCATTGTTTTGTTTTATTTTCGAGGAAATTAGTGTGCGTTCTTGTAGTTATCCCTTCAGAGCCAAGCTTTTTAGACTCGGGCCGAAAATTTGTGCATGGATTTCTGAGCTAGAATCCATCAGTCACCGTGGAATATCTACGTTATACTCACAAGCTGCCAACAGGCATTCAGTAGTATACTCTGGTTGTCCCACTGACCTCACTGACAGGGCTATAGAATAGACTTTGATTTTACCTGCGTTGTAGCTCGTCCGTTATGGTAGGAGTTGCTACTCTGTTGTTGATGGCGGCATCCGCAGTTTCACCGAATTGCTGGTCCTATTCTGAACTGTGGCGTAGAGCTAAGAGTTCATTTCCTGTGAAACCTGCACCCTATAAAACAGTTTATTCGTACTGCACAGCAGCA